CAATCCCTCCTACCCTCACTCGTGAACAAGACCCCGAGATACTTAAACTCCTCCACTTGAGGTAGAACCTCTCTCCCGACCTGGAGTTCGCAAGCCACCCATTTCCAGTCGAGAACCATGGTCTCAGATTTGGAGGTGCTGATCCTCATCCCAGCCGCTTCACACTCGGCCGCAAACCTAACCGGGCAAGAGCTGAAGGTCAGAGCTGGATGAAGCTAGGAGGACCACATCATCAACAAAAAGCAGAGACTAGATTCTCCTGCCACCAAACTCGATACACTCCACACCACGGCTGCGCCTAGAAATTCTGTCCATAAAGGTAATGAACAGAACTGGTGACAAAGGGCAGCCCTGGTGGAGTCCAACCCTCACCGGGAACAGGTCCGACTTACTACTGGCTATGCGGACCAAACTCACGCTCCTCTGATAAAGGGACTGAATGGCCCTTAACAGAAAGCCACCCACCCCATACTCCTGGAGCGTCCCCCACAGGGTGCCCCTGGAAACACGGTCATAAGCCTTCTCCAAATCCACAAAACACATGTGGATTGGTTGGGCAAACTCATATGCCCCCTCCATCACCCTTGCAAAGGTATAGAGCTGGTCCACAGTTCCACGAAAACCACATTGCTCCTCCTCAATCTGAGATTCAACTATCGATCGGACCCTCCTCTCCAGTACCTTGGAGTAGACCTTTCCAGGGAGGTTGAGGAGTGTGATCCCCCTATAGTTGGAACACACCCTCAGGTCACCCTTCTTAAAGATGGGGACCACCACCTCGGTCTGCCACTCCACAGGAACTGCCCCCAATGACCACGCAATGTGGCAGAGACGTGTCAACCACGACAGCCCTACAACATCCATAGCCTTGAGATACCCAGGACAAATCTCATCTGCCCCCGGTGCTCCACCGCTGTGTAGTTGTTTGACTACCTCAGCAATTTCTGCCCCCAAGATTGGACAGTCCATCCCCAGGTCTCCCGGCTCTGGTTCCTCCTCGGAATGCACGTAGGTGGGATTGAGGAGGCCTTTTAAGTATTCCTTCCACCGTCCGACTATAGCCCCAGTTGACGTCAGCAGCTCCCCATCTCCACTGTAAACAGTGTGAGCGAGTTTCTGCCTCCCTCTCCTGAGGCGCCAGAAAGTTTGCCAGAACCTCTTTGGAGCCGATCGATAGTCTTTTTCCATGGCCTCACCAAACTCCTCCCACGCCCGAGATTTTGCCTCGGCAACTGCCACTGCTGCACCCCGCTTGGCTATCCGCTACCTGTCTGCTTCCTCCAGAGACCCACAGACCAGCCACGCCCTGTAGGCCTCCTTCTTCAGCCTGATGTCTCCCCAAACCTCTGGTGTCCACCAGCGGGTATGGGGATTGCCACCACGACTGGCACCGGCCACCTTGCGACCACAGCTAGCAGCAGCCGCCTCAACAATCGCAGAGTGGAACAAGGCCCACTCGGAGTCAATGTCTCCCACTGCTCTCGGGACGTGGTCAAAGCTCTGTCGGAGGTGGGAGTTGAAGATCGTCTTGACAGGTTCTTCTGCCAGGTGTTCCCAGCAGACCCTCACTATGCGTTTGGGTCTACCAGGTCTACGCGGCATCTTCCCCTGTCATCTGATCCAACTCACCACCAGGTAGTGATCAGTTGACAGCTCCGCTCCTCTCTTCACTCGGGTGTCCAAAACATACGGCCGCAGATCAGATGATACGACTATAAAGTCTATCATCGACCTGCGACCTAGGCTGCCCTGGTACCAAGTGTACTGATGGGCATCCTTATGTTCGAACATGGTGTTCGTTATGGCCAAATTGCGGCTTGCACAGAAGTCCAATAATGAAACACCACTCGAGTTCAGATCAGGCGGGCCGTTCCTCCCAATCACACCCCTCCAGGTCATGCTGTCATTGCCCACGTGAGCATTGAAGTCCCCCAGCAGGACAATGGAGTCCCTTGATGGAGCACTATCTAGCACTCGTCCCAGGGACTCCAAAAAGGGTGGGTACTCTGTGCTTATGTGCCAAATATCAGTTCAAACGACAGTCAGGACCCGTTCCCCGACCCGAATGTGCAGGGAAGCTACCCTCTCGTCCCGCGGCGTAAACCCCAACACACAGGCAGAGAGTCTTGGGGCTAACAAAAAGCCAACCCCAGCCCTCTTCCTCTCACCTGGAGCAACTCCAGCAAAGGACAGTGTCCAACCCCTCGCAAGGACTTGGGTTCCAGAGCCAATGCTATGTGTCGAGGTGAGTCCGACTATATCTAGCCGGTACCGCTCAACCTCTGCCACAAGCTCCTGCTCCTTCCCCGCCAGCGAGGTGATGTTCCATGTCCCAAAAACCAGTTTCCTTGTCCGGGGATCGGACCGCCAAGGCTCCCCCTCGGTCTGCCACCCGATCCACACTGCACCGGACCCTTCATGTTCCTTCTGCGGGTGGTGGGTCCACAGTTGGATGAGCCCATGTATCCGGTTCAGGCTGGGCCCGGCCGGGCCCCATGGGCGAAAGCCCGACCACCAGGAGCTCACTCACGGGCCCCAACCCCAGGCCTGGCTCCAGGGTGGGACCCCGGTAACCCTCCGGGCCGGGTACTCCGACTCCTTGATAGTTCATCCATGAAAGATCCTCTGAACCAGTCTTTGTCTCACCCTTCACCTAAGACCAATTTGTCATGGGAGACCCTACCAGGGGCACAACGTGCCCCAGACAACATAGCTCCTAGGATCATTAGGGCACTCAAACTCCTCCACCACGATAAGGTGACGGTTCAAGGAGGAGCTAAATATTAATGAAAAATGAAAATTTTTTAACAAATTACTATTTGAGAAATGAAAAGTACAAAACAATCAGGACCGTTTTTTAAACTGTTGGTCAAAATGAAAACACCTGTCTAGCTAATCTCTGATGTAGGTGTTATTTCTCTACCTGCTTGTAACTTATATTAATAATAGTCCTTGAGAAAACTGTTGCATCTCAGCTCCATTCACATCTCACCCGCAATAACCTTTATGAACAGTTTCAGTCTGGCTTCCGTCCCCACCACAGCACAGAAACAGCTCTCATCAAGATCACTAACGACCTACTCATTGCTGCTGATTCTGGTTTAATCTCTATTCTTATTCTCCTCGATCTGAGTGCGGCCTTTGACACCATTTCTCATCCCATCCTCCTTAATAGACTCGCTTCCTTAGGCATCACTCACACCCCCCTCCGCTGGTTTCAATCTTACCTTACTGGCCGCACTCAGTTCATCCAGTTAAAATCCTTTACCTCAGAACCCTCCCCAGTCAAGTCAGGTGTGCCCCAGGGCTCTGTCCTGGGGCCCCTCCTCTTCATAGTATATCTCCTCCCTATCGGCAAAATCTTCCGCAAATTCAATATCCAGTTTCACTGCTTTGCAGATGACACCCAGCTCTACATTTCCAGTAAGCCCAACTCAACTCTCCCACCATCCTCCCTTACACTCTGCCTCTCTGAAATCAAATCATGGTTCACCTCTAATTTCCTCAAACTCAACGGCAATAAAACTGAACTTCTCCTTGTTGGCACTAACTCCACCCTCTCAACATCTGACAGCTTTTCTTTAACTATTGACAGCGCCACAGTCTCCCCCTCACCTCACGTCAAGAGTCTGGGTGTCATTCTCGACAGCTCACTTTCTTTTCAAGCTCACATTAATAACTTAATTCGGTCAGCATACTTCCATCTACGTTCCATAAACCGTCTCCGTCCCTCACTGACCCCTCACACTGCCGCCTTTCTCGTCCACAGCCTCGTCACCTCCCGTATCGACTATTGCAATTCACTTCTTTATGGTCTCCCCAACAAACTCCTACTTAAACTGCAAATGGTCCAGAATTCAGCAGCCCGTATTATCACCAGAACCCCTTCCTTTCACCACATCACGCCGGTTCTCCAGCAGCTTCACTGGCTCCCAGTTAAATTCAGGTCCATCTTCAAAATTCTCCTCCATACCTTCAAAGCTATCCACAACCTCTCTCCTCCATATATCTCAGACCTTATAAGTATTCACACCCCATCCCGTTCACTCAGATCTTCTTCTTCCATCCATCTTGCGGTTCCTTCTCCCCGTCTCGCTACCATGGGGAGCAGAGCTTTCAGCCGTTCTGCTCCTCGACTCTGGAACTCACTTCCCCCAGACATCAGGAACATCGACAGTTTTACCCTTTTCCAATCAAAACTCAAAACACACATGTTTAAATCTGCTTACAACCTCTGATTTTATTGAACTGTTTCTCTCTTTGTTTTTTCTTGTTTGGGTTTTATTATTGTTTTATTGTATTTTATTACGTGTTTTCTGTAAAGTGACCTTGGGTGTCCTGAAAGGCACTTTGAAATAAAATGTATTATTATTATTATTATTAGGTTTTCAAGCATGCTTGTGGACTGCCAGAGGCTGATTTGGGTCATGGGACAGCTCAGAAAGCTGTTGCAGAGCTGGCCTGACTGGACGACCACAGATTTGCAAATCACCCTCAAGTTCACCATCTTGTTAGACGATTATGCTCCCAATGAGGGATTTGGCTAAGACAGGGGTTCCTGGTCCTGGAGGGCCGGTATCCTGCATGTTTTAGTTTGAACTCTGTTTCAACATAACTGATTTCAATCAGCAGCTAATTAACAGGCTTCTGCAGAGCCTGATGAGCTGCTGCACAGGTGTTTCAACCACTGAATCAAGACTGTTGGAGCAGAAAAACCACAAAACCTGCTGGATACCGGCCCTCCAGGACCAGGATTGGGGACCCCTGGGCTAAGATGGTGATCCCGGCTTAAGTCACAAACACACAATTAGCTCTCACATTACACACTAAGAAAAATTTTACACACACATATATATATAAAAAAATTGCCATGTTTGCCTTAAGTTGAATATTTTTATGTTTTTAAACCCTAACTGGAGCTGTTTTCAGAACACGTTATAGACCAAAAACCAAAACATACATTCATCATTCTGGGGTGCTAGGAAGAACCAAGAGAAACATTTAATTGTCACCCATTTTAATTCAACCCAGACCTGTTGGAGAGCTGAAGGAACAGACATTCATCAAGAACAGAATTTGACTGAATGTTGATGCCTGTAAACCAAATAAACCAGTTTAACTAGTCATGAACCAATACTAAACAACCAGCCAGTAACAGGTCAGCACAACTACGGCAGAAGTTCTGGGTGTCAGTATCTGGTTTCAGGGAAAGATTTCAATCCAGGACTTCTTTGTTGTTTACGATCTGTTCTGCAAGGTCGTAACAACATCATCTGTTGTTGTTTGGGTTCTGTACAAAGTTGATGGAATAGGAGCCACTGGCTGTATCCTGGTTCACCTGAAAGTTGTTGGTGGAAAGTCCAAATGGTCGCAGGACCATGTTACCAAGGTCCTTCAGCTTATCTGTATAGGTGAGACAATGAGGTGAGTTACAGGGAACAGGTGAGACATCAGGTAAGTGTTTCAGGTGCAGAACATACCGATCATCTCCTCCTTCAGCTTTTCGTTTCTCTCCTGAATCTCCTGAGGTAGCCTCTGAGAGACAAGAGAGGTGGGCGACAGATACAGGTAGAGACGAGTTACAATTCAGCAACTGACTGGATCTATCAACATGAGACAACCATGTTATCAGTTTTAGCAAGAACTGGACAGCCAACAACTATTAAACACACCATACAGGCTCTCCTGGCACCACTGTGACCCGGATCTCCTTCCAGAACCTTCTTATAGTCCTCCAGGGCTTCCTCTAACTTCTCAGTTTGCTCATAAAGCTCTGCCCTCCTCAACAATGCCCGGAGGTAGTCTGGATCCAAATGTATTGCTATGGAAACAAGAGAGTTGTTCAACCAGAGAGCTAAATCAAACAGATAACAATGTGTCACAACTCACCTCTGCTGCAGTCTGAGATGGCCTCTTCCTTCAGCCCCTGCAATGACACGTTAACATTCAGTTAATAAAACCGTCAGTGCTCGGTAGGGTTGGGCATCGAGCATCGATTGGAACCGGTTCCAACTGTTAATTTTTCCCGGAATCGCTCAACGGTTTTTATTTAGATTCCTAGTTTCGATTCCTAGAATGCCGACGGAAGAGGAATCCTTGGCCGACCTCCGTGAAAAATAAACGTGATCTGCAAATTCTGATCAACGCTTTTCAGAGCTGATCACACCAGCTGTCTGTGTGCGGCACTGAGCCCGCTCGCCATTTCCCTAATAACACACGTTGTTCGTTTTTGTTTCTACACGTTTTTTTTACTCACAATGATTGTCAAAGAAAGTGTGTTTGTCGTGTTCATGTCAAATTAAACTGATCACAAAACACAGACTTACTTTCTTTATTTCGTTTTCCTCATCCAACCCCCTTAAATCCCTGTGTGTCCTCCTGCAGCACTCCCGCAGGACAACAGGCAAAACAAGACAAAAAAGTCTGACGTGTTGAGTAAAAACTGCTATTTTTAGCATATTTTTAGGGCCGACGTGTTGCTACCCGACGTACAGTGTGAGCAGTCAGGTCGCATCCGAGAACTGGGTCGTGCAGTGTGAACGCATGACTCGTGAGATCTGCCCTGATGTACTTTGTAATCAGGTCCTGGACATGGTTGCCCCTCTCAAGCTTTGCAAGTCTAGACCTAGGAGGGAGCCTTGGCTCTCTGATGTCACACGGGCTTGTAGGCGGGTGTGTAGATCCTCTGAGAGAAAGTGGAAAAAGGATGGCCTACAGGTCTCGCGTGAGTTGTTCAGAGCATCTCTGGTTGCTTATCAGGATGCAGTGAGGGCCGCCAGAATGGCCTATTTTGCAGACATCATTGAGACTAACTCCAATAATCCTAAGATTCTCTTCAAAACGCTAAACTCAGTTCTGGTGTATCAGGAGCCTAGCTCCATGTCTCCTACAGCTGCTGGAAACTCTGAAGCTTTTCACAAATTCTTTGTTGATTAAGTGTCGGGCATTAGAGCAGCTATTTCTGGTAACTCTAATGACCCTGTTCCAGTTCATCCATCACCACCCACCCTGAGCTCCCTCAGTATTGTTTCATATTCTGAGCTGAGTAAGCTTGTTGCGAGGCAGAAGCCATCTGGCTCTCCACTTGACGTTCTGCCGCCTCGTCTCTGGAAGGCTGCCTTTCCGTGCCTTGGCCCTTCACTTGGTCAGATTATCAATGGGAGCCTCAGCACAGGTGTTGTCCCAGCTGCTTTGAAAGCAGCAGTTATTCGGCCGACCCTGAAGAAACCTGGTGCTGATGTCTCTGTGATCGAAAATTACAGGCCCATCTCTACTCTGCCCTTTACATCTAAACTGCTTGAGAAAGTCGTTTATCAGCAGCTGGTCTCACATTTAGCTGACTCTGATCTGTTTGAGGTTTTCCAATCAGGGTTCAGGTCTGGCCATAGCACAGAGTCTGCTCTACTGAGGGTCCTAAATGACATCTATCTATCACTAGATCAGGGAACATCTGTGCTGCTTCTGTTATTAGACCTGACAGCAGCCTTCGACACAGTTGACCACGCGATTCTTCTTGATCGCTTGGAACGATGGGTTGGGATCAAAGGGTCAGCTCTGGACTGGTTTAGATCGTATCTCCAAAACAGGACATTCTGTGTTAAACTGGGTGATGTTTTTTCTTCTTGGGAGGGGCTCCGGTGGGGGGTCCCGCAGGGATCGATCCTTGGTCCTCTTTTGTTTGCCATTTATCTGCTACCTTTGGGGTCAATCTTTCGTAAACATGGCCTATCATTCCATCTGTATGCTGACGATTGCCAGATTTACTCTCCATTGTGTCAGGAGAAAGGTCACTCTATTCAGTCCTTTGTCTCCTGTGTTAATGAGGTGAAGTCTTGGCTAATGTCCAACTATCTACATCTGAATGAGGGAAAGACAGAGCTCATTGTTTTTCACCCCAACAGCAGGAATGTGGATCGTTATGCTGATCTTGGCCCTCTTTCTCCATACTCAAAACCAGTTGTTACCAGTTTGGGGGTGAAACTTGATGTAGGACTTAAATTTGATGATCAATTCTGTGATCCGGTCCAGTTTCTTTCACCTGAGACGCCTTGCTAAAATCAAGCATATGCTGTCGAGAGCCCACCTGGAGCGGGTACTTCATGCCTTTGTAATTTCTCGGCTTGACTACTGCAACTCTCTCTACGCAGGGTTGTGTCAGTCAACATTGCGTCGCCTACAGGTTGTGCAGAACAGCGCTGCCAGGTTCCTGACTGGGACCAGGAAACGGCACCACATCAGTCCAGTCCTGGCCTCCCTGCACTGGCTTCCGATTTCCTATCGCTCACAATTCAAAATCCTCATCTTTGTTCATCATTTCTTCCAGGGTGGTGCTCCCCCCTATCTGGCCACACTCCTGAACAAACATTCCCCATCACGCGCTCTGCGCTCCTCTGACCAGGGCCTGCTCGCTGTCCCTCGGTCTAGGTGTCGTACCCGTGGGGACCGGGCTTTCTCAGTCCTAGCACCGTTACTCTGGAACCAGTTGCCACCCTCAGTTAGGCTGTCCCCTTCTCTGCCAGTCTTTAAGAATCACCTAAAAACACACCTCCTCCGCTTGGCGTTTCCAGAACATGTTTGATTATGGCCCTCTATTATGTTGAATCCATTCCACAGTTTTCATTGGTACACTCAATCCATCCACTCAATCCAATTGTGTTTCACACATTTGTATTTTACCGGAATGTTTCATCTATCTTGTTATTTCCATTTTGTATTTTGTAATTTGTATTTTGTAATTTGAATTTATTTTATTGTTGATTTATTCAGTATAATTACTTACAACTGTACCATGTTCAGCGCTTTGGGCTTCCTGACAGGGTTGCGGAAGGCGCTTTATAAATAAAGCTTTGATTGATTGATTGATTGATTGCCCTGCAAGGAAGTTGAACAGTTTGAGCTGAAGCCGAGTGCTATGAGTGAAAAAGTCACACAGTGTCCGCCCGGCTTTAGCCAACCCAACACACCCACTACCGACTGATTGGCCGTCTATCTACTAGTGAGAATCGCTGACTGGTCAGTAGAATCAGCCAGCGGTGGCTTTCTGCTTGCAAGATTCAATAGTAACTGGATGCAGTTGGGTGAAAACCTTCTCTGACTGCAGCTCAGACCTCCCGCTCCAGCCATGGGAGCTGCAGGACAGACCATCTGCTGTAAGCGCTCTTGGAAGAGGAGCTGCTGCTCAGTGAGAGCAGGAAGTTGTGCCCAGACTTAGCTAACCTAAATGTAAACAGGCCATAAACTATTAGCATCATTTGCGCCAGTTAGCACGTTATTGTTTAAAATGTATTTTAGTCTCTGGCTTATTTACCAGAAATGTGAAACTTACAACAAATCATGGTTCAATTATATTCCGATTCGCGGTGTGACAAATCGATTCAGAATCGATTCTCTTAGTAACAAAGTGTCAAGTCACTTTATTTATAATGCACTTTCACACACCAGACAGGGAGACCAAAGTGCCGAACACAACATAAAATAATGACACAATCGACAACTCTAAAATAAGATAAAAACACTAAAATAGGACATAAATACCTGACATACCAATAAAAATGTTAAGAGCAAGTTCATCTCAATAAAAGGATAAAGAAAAGTAATGTTTTCAAGCATGACTTAAAGGAAGATAGAGATGGAGCCTGTCTAATATTCAAGGGCAGGGCAACATACAGTGTTAGAGCCACAATGGAAAACGCATGATGCCCTCGAGATTTGAGCTTCGCCCGAGGAACGATCAGTCAGTTCTAGTCAGATGAGCAGAGTGACCAAGTGGGGACATAATAAGCAAGCATATCGCTCACATATGTGAGAGCAATGTTGTTCAGGGCCTTATAGGCAAGAAGTAAGATTTTTAAATGTATTCTGAACGGTACTGGAAGCCAGTGGAGGGACACCAGGACTGGGGTAATATGAGCCCGCCTAGATGTACCCATTGATAAATGAGCCACACTATTCTGTACCCTCTGCAACCTTGCAATGGCATTCTGACGCATGCCAGCATAGACTGAATTATAATAGTCTAGCCTTGAGATATTAAAGGCATGAACAACCGTTTCTAATGATTGCTTAGACAAGAAAAGTTTAATCTTAGCAATACGATGAAAATGAAAGAAGCAGCCCTTCACAACATTATTCACCTGGCTGTCAAACTTCAATGCACTGTCTATAATAACTCCCAAGTTTGTAACAGCCATTTTCTCACAGAGAACAAAGTCAGAGTTGCCACAAAAACAAATTAATCCATTCGGTGCTCCCTGAGACACCTCACCCTGTGGAGTACTCTACACCTACCGAAGGGTAGGGTCGAGGGCCACCCCAACACTGCACCATTACAGGCTGATCCAGCTCTGTCCGGCTGCACTCGCACGCCAACTGAGAGCCCTCTGGAGCCCTCTGGAGTCCATCCCAGAGCAGAGCCCTCAGAAGTCAAACCCAACCAGGAGCTCTACACAGTTTGCTCCTGCGCCAGTCTCCGGTCTACGTTGATCGGGATTCCAGGTGTCCGGACTAACTACATTTCTGATGTTGGTTGCGTGTATCTTTGCGATAGGTAACGTGGCTAAGCCTTCTCTTCAATGGCTCTATGACCCTGGACCTTCGGGGATCGCTCTTAAGGAGCGCACAGGACTGTTGATGACTAACTACCGTCTGGTTACCCAGAAGGTGTTTGTCAAATTTGACCCTGAAATGGCCTGTGCTTGGACACTGCTAAGTTCCTTTGGGCCTCTTTCTGACACTGGTACCAACTGGACTTGTACTATGATGTGGCACTCTGAAGTAGACCTCTCTTACATGTTACTCCAGCTACAGAAATTCACTGTAACCAATTTGAAGCTTCCTGGTGCCAACCGTAGGAAGACACTTTTCTTACAAGAGCTCTTCTCCACTACAGGTGCAATTGGTTCTATCTTTAACTTGGGTTTCTCATCG